GAAGCCTGTTTCTCCTATGATACGGCCCAAACTATTAGTTGCTGACTACTTGGAGTGATGACGTGTATTTATTTGACCGCCTTCAATCCTTTAAACTAAATGAATATATATCATATCAGGACTAGATGATGTATGGAAATACGCATGTTCTTCGACCTCATAATTTGATGAAGGTTCAGAAATCCATCAATCAATTTTAGATCTCTACTTTTTGCTCCTCTTCTTCTTCATCCCGTCTGTGACAAACCTTTTAAGTTACAATATAATATCTTTCAATAAGTAGCCCGATATTCAAGCATCTTGCTATAGAGTATATATAGAGTATACAGGTGAAAATGAGCTTGAAACTAACACTATTTGTTTGTAAAGTAGCTTTTGAAACGACTACCACTTCAAAAATAACGGTATACCTACAAAAGTTCAACTGTCGATAGCTTTATTTCTCAGTAGTTCGGAAAAAGAAAACCAGTAAAATCAGAAGCCTAACAACATCTAAATAAATAATCTGAAAACCATTCCTATTGAATATTGGGTTGGTTGTACATTTCCTCTAACCTTTTTATATATACAAGTACAGTATACTGCTTAATGGAATTATCTGATGACACTTTCCTAAGGAGATTTACAAATCGTTTCTTCTATAAATTAACTTATAGATACTAATGAGAAAGTAATCAAAATGATGTTTATTCTAGTTTAATCATTTTCTAAAAAAAGTAAAATATGAGGTTTTGCTGTTTCAGATTGCCACTTTGACTTGTGAATCACTAAGCTGATTGTGACTATTGAATTTTAGTTTGTGGCTAAACCCGATTTCCTAGAAAGATTTTTTTTCATTTAGCGATTACATGTGACTCGAGTGTTGGTCCATTCGTGACTACTAGAGTACTTATTAGAAAAATTAGCGAATTACTGGTTTTTATACTACATCTATTACTACTTTTCCTGCTTATCGTATTTCCTTATCCTCAGCATCAAATAAACTGGATTTGATAGATTATATTAAAATGTAACGGCAATGAATTCTTATAATTACTGAAATATAGGTAAGTTTAACCGTGAAAAAAAGAAAGCAATAGAACGAAGTTAGTGAAATCTAAAAATAAAAACCCTGCAAAACTTAATGATGCTTAGTGAACAGATGAATATTATTGTGGGTAGACAGATTTAGTGAACATAGATCACAGAGAATTATCGATACTTTTACCGCTAGTATAATTATTTGCTAATTTATTATATTCCTTGTTTGTTATTTATAGAATGGTTCACAAGTTAACTTACGCCAACTACCTTAATTTTATAAAAATATGATAGATGGGGTAAATCTTATTTAGTTGAATTTAACAGTGGAAGAAGTTGGTAATAAACAGTTACTTAGATTAAACACCCTAATGAAAATACACATTGTTTTCAACTTAGTCTTGGTCAGTGATCCAAGCCAGGGATGGATGTAAATGCAAACCGTCCGTACTTTTGTATAAAGTGAAAATCGATTTCAACAAAATAAAGTAATCTGATAGTTGCAACCCAACAAATTCGATTTAACAATCAGAATAGTTTTCTTTAAAACTTAGACAAACCTAAACTCACACTTATTCTATGATATATAAGCTTTGAACGTAACTTATTCTTCAAGCTTGTGATAAATTAATCGAGCCAAATTTAATGTGTTGTATAACACTGTTGATGAATGAAGGCTGAGTTCAGATTATATCGAACATTAAATAAACAAAAAATTGGATATTTGGAGAGCATATTTCACTTGACAAAACAGAACTCATAAAAATTTGTGTCAATGATCAAGCTAATTAATTACAGAGATATGATTTGTAAAAACTGACAGATTTTATCGTAATAGTTTTAGATCACACTATTCAAGCAATCCATATTCATCCTATTTTCAACTAACATCAGTGATGCAGCGATGGTGTTGAGAAAAGGATACTACGTAAGGATGGTATATCAACTGATGAAGCAATGAGTCTCCGTCAGTCGAGGTGGTTGGGACATGTGTTACGTATGCCTAACTACCACCTACCTCGACAGTCAGTGTTGTCTGGTGTAGAGGTAGTCTAGAAGAAAAACAGAGACGGCCAAAACAAAAAATGTCACAAATCCATGAAGGTACCGACAACTGGACTGAGCCATGCTAGTAGGTGTAGTCTAGGGTCCGGGAGACAATAGTAACCGATAGTTAGAGACATGACTCAAAATCGTTTACAGTGTCTACTCTCAAGTTCTAATCTTGTGAACTCCCTATGACCTTTATTCTATATCGATTTATTTTGCTAGTATTTACTTCTCGAATAATACTTTCGATCCCTAATCTTTTCCATTACCGCTAATGCTGCTACAACCTCAGCTACTATGCGATTTGAATTGACTATTCAACCTGAACTGATATACATACGTACCAAGTTGTACGTTGTCGCTGATTGAAAATCATGTCATAGTTGGCTACTCAAAATGAAATACTTTAAAAATTACGTCTTTAAAATATTACATTTCCAAAATCCGATCATCAGATTCCTTCAGCAGCACAAGGTGCAATGAGAATGTCACTCATAGTGATCTATCTGTTAATCTATTGAGGTAAATAAATAAGTATAATTTACATAGATCAACGATTTTAACCACTATTACTCAGAACGAAAGAAGTAGACACAAACACTTATTGAGTAATATTAGCTGTTTATTGAGCTTCAATAAAATCTATCTGACAACCAGGAGAACGATAAACACGAGAACAAAACTTCCTTTAAAAAAAGGTCATTTAAACAACTGCACAAACGAGAAGAGCAACCTGGTTCTGCTTGCGATAAAGAAAACTTCAATTTGCAACAGTGAACTAGTCATCAATAAGCACCAGTTAAATGCAGCCAGGATTGAAAAAAGAAAACGCAAGCTAGAAACTGCTGGAAAAAAATTAAAAATAACACTGAGGCGTAAGCTGAAAATACATTAGCAAAAAACCAATCAAACAAAATAAACACTGACGATCAACACTGTAAAGTGCTCTCCAATAGACAGATATTACTGAAATCAACGGATATTGGAACAGCACATGCAAATCCTCATAGATAACACCTTACCAGTAATAAAAGAAAGCAACAAGGCCACGAGATAAATCAAGCATGATAAAGTACCTGGATGTAAATGAATATTACCTGAGGCGTGAAAACAGATATAGAAAAAACTGTAATGTTCCATGTTCTTTTCGGAAAGATTTCAGAGGAAGAACAAGTATCAATAGATTGGAAAAAGGGGTATCTGATTAAGAAAATGAAGAAAAAGGATGTTAGTCACTGTAAGAACTGTAGAAGAATCATATTATCGTCAATACCAGACAAAGATTTCAAATGATTGTTGCTAAATCGAATAAAAGATTTTGTTTGTGTCGGAGTGCAATAGACAACTTGAACTTATCTAGATAATCTGAACTTCGTGGACATTTTAGCACTGACGTCAGTGTAGCAGCAGCTTCAACTGGAATTGTCCCCAACATTCACAACAAACGAAGCGAGATCCCAAAGTATAACAGAATGGTCATCGTGCCAAATACACTTGATGGTTATACCGTGGAACGGATGGAATCCTTTATGCACATGCTCAGCAGCATTGATCAATAAAGAATATTTGATGTTTATTGGAAAAAGCGAAGCAACATTTTTACAGGTGTAGAATATCTGCAACATAAAACAACTGTCAACTGACGCTAACACTAGTTCGCTTCTGTGGACCGATGTATAGCAATCAACGTTTTAAAATTGTTGAGTAATTTATAAATATTTAGCTAACTTTACATAACTTTTCTCATTTAAGACTTTCTTTCATACCATGATTTTTTCGCTCCTCTCTCAGCAGGATTTATCTCATTATAGTTGTTGACCAACCTAGCCTATAAACTCCTGACACTTTAAATGTAGGTTATATAGTTAATAAACGGCACATAATCTTCCTGACAAATTTCGAGAAAAGCAGCCATATATTTATAAAAAATGACAAAAATTAAATTTTCACCGTATTTTTCTACTAACCAAACCATCTCACGTTTTCCATGTAGTGTTTTGTAATTCTAACTAAGCAAATACTGAGACCTAATAACTCTATAGTACTTCGCTGCTTCTCGTGAATTTTTTGCCGTTTGTCAGTTTGAGTTGAATGCTTTTTTTCAAAACTATCCTGAAGAGCTACTAATTATAAAATTGTCCATAACGAATATTATTCATTTATAACTCTCAGCTTATCCACACTATACGTTTTTTTAACCAGGTACTGAGAACATTCATTAACACAATAAAATCATTATTCTCATTACATTGTCATCATTCCAAAAAAATCAATAAAGCCAGCTTCAATTAGAAGTCAGTTAAATACTGCTGAAAAAACTACACAGACACTTTCAATACCAGAATGTTATCCACTAACATAATAATCAGTTTGTAATCGGAAAAGATATGACACATCGGCCTCATCACTAGGGTGAAGAACATGTTCTGAACGATAAATGTAGCTGGAAACCTTGAATGATATCCGTCTTATGATGTAATTTCGTTATTGAAGTTGTAAAATTTTCCGATTGTAAATGCTTAGCTAATCTATGAACACTAAAGAACCTGCCATATTTCTGTATAGGTTCAAGTTATCATATCACATCAGGACAGAAAATTGCCAGAAGAGCATAAGTAGCAGCCGTAACAATAACAATAATATACATAAATTTAAAACTTACCACTAAATCTCACATTTGTTTTTTTTTTATAAAATGAGTAAGTTATAAGAAATAAATTTTCTGGATTATTATTATTATTTTTAAATTGTATTAGGATAAATGTAGATAGAACGAATCTGACAACAAATATACTTTGTACAAAAGTGAACTGATGTTAAATATATAAATTAAACGATAAAATGGCTTATTATTATTATTATTACTATGAAAAGTGGTGTACTATAAATAAAAAAGTAATTTTGTACATGTTAAATAATGTTAAATTGTATTAGGTTTTGTGGATTCTTTGCAAGTTAGAATCGAATTCTTTTCGTTTTGTATTCAGTAAATAATCAATTGAAAATTTGTCCAAATTAGGATTTGTTGAAATTTTTGTCGCCGATCGAAAATCAACAGTACTTATGGTACTGCTCGGTTCAATGGTATCATGTGCCTCCTGATATTGATTTATGAACACTTGAGAAAGTGAAGGAAGATGAAAAAAATTTAAAAATGACCCATTCTGTTGTAATTGGTGAAAATATTGATTATTACTGTTGTGATACTGGTCGCACGAAATTAAGGAATTTAAAATTGTATCCTTAGACTTTTTCCGGTCATTTTCATTTAAGTTGGAAAGTAAGAAGCTTGGTGGTGGAACTATTGAATAACTGGTTATTGGACTAATCAATGGTTTACAGATAGGTGATGTTGTAGAGTTAGAAATTATAAAGTCCAAATTATTTTCTTTTTCCATAGCTGTTGTTGTGATCAATTCATTTTGTGGTAATGATTTCAGCCTTGTTGCATAACAAAAACTTTTCTTATCTCCACTTTGTATTTCGTTAGACAGTAGATCGAATTGATGGGAATCGTAATGACTGCGTTCTTGTTGGTGTTGTTGGTCAAGACACTGGTGACGGTAATCCTGTTCATCAATTCTCCTAGAATCCACTCTTGTCGGTGAACGTTTATAACGTTTACGACGCCTTAAGAAACTGCCATTATCAAACATATCTTCCGACTGTGGATCTAATGTCCAATAATTCCCTTTACCAGGATTACCGGGCTCGCGTGACACTTTAACAAAACAGTCGTTTAGAGATAAATTATGTCTGATTGAATTTTGCCATGCTGGAAATCGTTCTCGGTAATATGGGAAATTAGACATGATAAATTCACATATACCGGATAATGTTAGTCTTCGTTTCGGTGAATGTAGTATTGCCATAGTAATCAGTGCAATATAAGAGTATGGAGGTTTAACTGTTGTAGATTTATTTGTTGATGATGGAGAATTTTTAAAATGAATTTTATGTAAATGATCTATCTGATTTTCTGTTATAACGAATATTTTCTCCTCTTCCGATTCCGGTTCAGCTAATTCGTTATCCAGATCATCGACATCATTATCGTCAGGATCATTTAAAAAGTCAATACTGCCTTCTTTATTCAGGTTCTGTAAGGATTCCGGATAATTGTCTAGGCTAAGTGGTTTATCATGAGTATTCTGTTCATTTTTGATAGTTAAATGTGTAACTCCTTTGTCGTTCATTGACTTTGTATTATTATTCATGCTAGTTATAGGTATATCATATTGATGAGAAGTACAATAATCTGATTTTGGTAATCGATATGTACCGGATGTTGTATATGGTGAATTCATTGAAGCTGAAAGGTCAAGTAAAGCACCTTGATGCAATAACAATTGGCTAGTTATCACATTTTGATTAATTCTATTCTGTACTGAAGTTGAAGTAAATAATTCGTTATTATTGTTGTCGTAATTATCACAGCCAATATTCGATATACTATGATTTAGTTCATGCAAATGTTTATAACTCTGTGAAAGAAATATATCCGTTTCAGTTACATGGCTCATATTGATCATAGCGGGGATGAAGTACACTATTAACTGTGTTATTTTACACACAGTGGGAATGTATGAAAAGAAATAATATTATTCTAAATAAATACTTCAATTAGTCATATGTCTAACACAGTTCTTTTATTAGTGTTGTGTTATTGTTTGTGTGAAGTCTAATAATCCGGTATCCTGTTGATGCTACACAAATACACTAAGACATACACTCAAAGAAGAATCTACAGATGATTTCAGAATCTTACATTGACTTACCTACACAGACACTCTGAAGTAAATTAATCCGAGACGAAAAGGGAAATCTATGTTGATCATACAAGATAAACATGCGAATATACATAAATGTTTTCTAGCCCCCTTCATCATCGTATATTTACTTAATCATTGTGTATACATGTGTCTATTGCTAGTTAACGAGATGGTCAATATAAAACGTTTTTGTATGTTAACTTTCTTCCCCTTTTTGTAAAATTAGCCAACCACTGATCAGAAGTTTCCTGCCAGCGTTTTTAGTAATTTGACATTAAAAGAAAGAGACGAAAAGTAACGTTGTGGCTACAAAGAAAACAAAATATTTGTTGTAGACACGATGAAGCAATGAATAAACCAATCGAATTAAAGTTCTCATTAGTAGGTTAAAAGTTGGTCGATTTATCATTTATTTGAATAGGATAGGATGTAGTACAGAATCGAATGTATGCTAATTACCATATTTGCCTTAGAGTATGGGACCTTAAGAAAATGCCTATTTTCAAATTCTCATGGAAATGATATGTAGGATTTCATATTGCGGAACCATCATTCCAGAAGGTAATTCGGGTTCGATAACCATTTTTTCTTAGTTTCATTTTATTTGAGATGCGTTGATTACATAATAATAAGACAGTCTACAAATACGAATATTCTGTTCTCATTTTCAGTAAATGTTATGTATCCAGTCCGAGGTAAATAATTGAACTAAAAATAAGAGAGCTTTTGTATGGTCTTCAACAAGCTTCACTTTTTTGGGGCACAGTTTTGGAGGTTTGCGATTTTTTACACATTTGAAATCATCAATCAATCATTGTTAGACCACCATTAGAAACCTGGAAGCACTGGACGGCCGTTTCGTCCTGGTATGGGACTCATCAGCAGTGCGCATCCACGACTCCTGCTCCTCGCAGGATTCGAACCCGGGACCTTTGGCATTGTAGGCGAACGCCTTACCATCGGACCACTGGGCCTGCGCCCAACGGTGTTAATGTCTAACTCTGATTGATCTAGGGATTTTGCGCGACCTCAACCATTTGTCTTTGGTAGTTACTGCTTACACCAGACAGGGCTTCACTTTGTCGAAATTACTCACTAACCTAGAATCCATTCAATAAAAATTAAAAAGTAGAATGTCCATAATTAGAAGGCCTTACACATTAAATCTTTTAAACTTCCTTCATACAGCAGGAAAAATGATGTAAATATTGAATATATTTGACGTAGTGTAGTGTGAGGTGATCTTCATATTTCTGTGTTCATGTAAATGATAAACCTCTCTCGATATGATGGGGATTTTTCAGAGAATAAAATGTGTAGGAAACTTGGTTTTTATGCTCACGGCACACAAATTATTGGACATGCGAACTGCGATATGATCATGACGACCAACTTTCGTAAATAATGTCACTAAAAGATGCCTCTTTTTTTTCTACTGAATGGTATCTTGTGTCGGAGATAGTTCATTAGCTATAAATAAGTGAGTGGATAAATAATTTTCAACAGCGTTTGTACCAGAGACTTATACAAATGTTTCTAGTTATGAATTACTCAAACGATAGTGATACACTTCTCAGTCTAGGTGCAAATAACGTACGTTGTAGACACATAAAACAGATTTCTATTAAAAACCTTAACACCAGAAATCTCCAATTTTAGTTTGATGTTCCTTTTGAACGAGCATCCGCAATCTATCTGACTTTGAGCTTAAGAACATCAAAAGTCACACTAATCACGGAGTTGGAAATCAAATCTTCATTTACATGACTGGTTAGCTCTAGATGTAACGTGGAGTTATACATTTCCATCTTTAGGAATTCATTCTACCTCAGCCTCGTTCCAACTTACTTCTAAAAGTCCAAAGAATTCATTAATAAAATCAAAGAAATTAATTTTTTTTTGTATAAACACATTTAAAGACAAAGTAGGACTCATTTCCGAATCAGAACAAAAAACGATTCAAGTCTATAGGAAAGCTATAGTCAAAACAAGATCAACTTTTGCTTTAAACCATCTGTTTCTAAACAAAATAAAAATTAGATTGGTACAATAAATAAGGAAATTACAATTATCAAGTAAGACGAGCAAACGTACCGACCAATATAGCGTGTCTTATGGAAATGAGTAAAGCTATGAGTCACATCAATATAATAAGATAATAACGTCAATCAATTTGTAGGGCATTTACAACAAAGAAAGTTTACAAACACGTCAGATCAGATCATGTGGTGGGCGCTCAAACCACAATTTGATTGGTTAGTTATGACATAACTACAATTAGTTATGGAAATAACTAACAGTTACAGTTCTTAATCCCATCTTGAGCCTCACTAGAGATACGGTCAGAGAGCTCAGACTACCACAACCGTCAACATGAAAGTAAAGGTAGTTACATACGGCGTCTGTGCGTGATACTGCAGATCCGTCGGTCAGAGACCACCATCAATAATGTACGGTGGCAGAAAACGGACCAGCTGCTAGTTCAAGAGGCAGGAAAGGTAAGATACACCTTACAGAAACCATTAAGCTGTGTCACAAGATAAGCCCTAACTCGGAGTTCTAACTGCTAAAATAAAGTGGCCATAACAAAGTGCACATAGTTTTGGGAATTACAGGTAGACATCATGATCATGAATAAAACTTAGTAAGAAATAAAAGGAGATCCGGTGACAGTGTTAGTTGGAGATCCCCGGTTGGTAGCCTATGCATCATGAAGAGTAGAAAGTTCGAAAAATTCAATTACTGTTGATATTTACCCTGTCATTCTATAAGAATGGATAGCTAGTTTTATGTATGTTACCGATTCGATTATTTGTGTGTTAGGTTTTTTACCCGGTTAGTCTGAAATTGAAACTAATGTCAAGACAGCATTAAATTAATGAGAAATAACTACTACAAAAATAACGACTACTATTGTTTACAAAAAGTCCTGAACTGCAGCCATTGATAATCACACAGAATGTGTAGCTAAAACTCCAATAATATTTGATGCACATATGCACACAATACACATTTCATCTCATCTTCTATCAAGTGCTATGGGTAGAGCCAATTTCAAAATGTATCACGATAAAATGGAAAATTCTAACATCTAGATTCTATTTTTCTTGATAACTTGACGTTTCCATATGGTAATGAAAAAGTGTTTCACTCACGAAAGAATTATCGGATAAAACACTGGATTATATTTCTCTTTGCTCATAGTTCAGCATTAAAAATCACCGACTGACAGGTTTGATTGTTTAAAGTTGGTTTTTGTTACAGATTAATATCACTTGTAATTAAAAAGTATGAATTACTGTTAATTAAAAGATTTTGTGGGGATTACAAAACCGTATGCATACTAGTGACCTGAGGCTTTGCTCTGCAAATAAACCGACTTACCAGTGAACAATGATACCACTACCTCGTATGCTTACAAAATTCGAGAGTGCAAACCAGTCAGTGTTCACTACGAAACTTGATGATTTTTTCCATTTAAATGAGATCGATACCATTAAAGTGATTCAAACTGCTCAAAAAAATTATTTTCCGATATGAGTTTATGTCGGTCGATTAGCCAAGTTGAATATGTGATTTAAACAATTTTTATTGACCACTTATCAACCACACTAACAATTTCAACCTATATATATATATATATATATATATATATATATATATATATATTGTTCGATTGAATCTCAGTTTTACTTCTCCTTCTTTAACTTAATCACCTAAGTTAACTCCAGAAAAAAACAATTTCTGGAAAAGAAAGCAACAGCATCATGCTTCTCACTTTTATTGTTGAACTTCATGTTCATTGAATACAAATATCAGTTAGACATATGTTGATTATATTATTTATACATACATCTATTCTTTCTGTGTTGGCATAATCGTATTAAACAACTTGAATATTGTTTTCTTTTCCTATGAAAACACATATTGGCTTTTAAGTGAACTAGCCACATTCACATGCCCATAAATATACACATATAACTAACTATTTTCGTTGTAGTATTCTTTCAAATTTTGTTTTACACCTAGATTCAAAGTGAACATTATGGTAGTTCAACTTCTCATTACTTACTGTCATAATTAGTTGTTATTGTTATTCATATTATTATTATTATTATTACCTTACCTGATGACGATGATATTGCTGATAATAAAAACGCTACCTAACACTATGTAGTTACTATGCTTTTACATGTAAATTTTCAAATATTAAATTTCACGTTGGGAGGATGGGATAAGGAAATAAAATCTTTTATTTTTTTTCGACAGTAAAAACCACAACGAAGTAGCTTTTTCTTGTTCATTATGTACACTGACAAAGGCGAATTTTCGTTACGACTAGAAGAGTTTGTATTTCTGTAAGTAATAATCTCAGTGCCTTAGGTTTGTTCTTCAATCCACCCTGTAATTTCATGTTAGTATCATCGTTACTGATAGACTTGCATATTCTATAACATACTTGGTTAATTACACCTACCAGAAAACAAGATATTAAAATAGTCAAACTAATTTAACTTTTCCAGTACATTTTCAAAAAGAAAATACATAATTATTTTCCCTGTTTTCACTTTCATTTATTTTATTGGTCAGTGAGATTTGGATGGTATTCTAGGGACAGAGACAGGGAGAGAGAGAGAGAGGGAAAAAGCAAAAAAAAAACAATAAAAATCATAGTTGAACAAGAAGCTACTAATAATATACACAACTACTACTTACATATTTTGATAGATAGATAGAATGTTGTGTTTATT